GGCACACCCGTCATCCAAAGCTGATAACCTTTACACACGGCAAAAAAACACAGCTAACGCGGTTCAGACCATGTAAAGACCTTATATATCCTCTTAAGTACAATAAATTGTTCAAAAGCTTGTGTCTTGCGTCTTGATTCTTCTTCAGACCCTGTCAGGATCTGCCGGTGGTGGCCGGGCTGAGCTACACTGCCTTGCGCGTGAGTGCGACGGCCAACGACTTCAGCGCCGCACTGCTGACGCCGATGCTGCGGATTGTCCAGGTGGGAGAACGGAGGGAGAACCCGCAAGGTGACCAGTGGAGTCACGTGGAGTGAGCAATTGCAACATGTCCTTGGGTCTCCAACCTACTAGCGATGGCTTTCAACCTACTAGCGGTGGTCTCCAACCTAATAGCGATGGCCTCCAGCCTAATAGCGGTGGCCTCCAACCTAATAGCGATGGGCTCCATCCTAAGAGCGATGGCCTGCAACCAAAGAGCGCAAGGTGACTGGAACATGTCGTTCTCATGTGTGCTCATCGCAGATGCTCAAGCATCCGTCACGCAGTCGTGTAAGAATAGCGTAGGCAGGGGCGTAAGAAAGTTATACTATACGACATACGCCAATATATAGGCCATAGATGGCCATCGAGGTTTAATCATTTTGCAGGCTATATCCCTTTCCTGCCCAGACACTCCATGTATAGAATATATGCCAAATCGGGGTGGTTTGGGGGGTGAATGTAAGCATGTAGTTCCACATGGAGTATTCGGATGTAAGACTGCGCCTTTTTGGGTAACAGAGGGGCTCCGCTCTCTGTCCGAACAGGTCGATACACAGCCTTCCTTCGGGGGATGTGCGAGCAACGGCTACATCCGTCCAGGAGGGCTTGGGTTTCAAGACCAGGCGAGACCAATAAATCGCGCTAGTGACCTTTCCGCGTGAGAAACGCGTGCGGAAAGGTTTGTCGTGTGAGAATTTGGGCGAGTTTGGTGAGGAGTCTTGTGTGGTTGGTGTAAGGACCCTGCTACTTAGGAGGGGACATGTCAAAATTGAGGGAGCATTTGATTTTTGTTGTTGAAAGATGTTGAAAGGACTCTGAGCAAACATAAAAGTCAATTATACATTATACTATTGGTCCACTTGAAGATGCAATAATCGGAGTCTTACCTTGCCAACAAACATCCAAAGAGTCCGATCTTTGGATCCTTTTTTCGTGGTGAACTGGTTCATAGGGACCGGGTCCACCAACTCACTCCTGAGGCCATTCCATTGACGGTGGACTCTGGGGATCTCTTGTCCTCGAACTTGGTCTTCATGACAGGAGGCCCCTCGCCGGCCGCTAGCCAGCCGACGAAGCCGACCGGTTCATGGACTGACTGCGGCTGGACAAGGGTAAGTCCTGGGTGCTGGAAGCTTTTTGATGAAGCTTCTGTGGAGCTCCGAACTTCTGTGGGTGAAGCAAGTAAAAAATGTGACCCCTCTGCCTGGCACCGAGATTGGAACGACGTTGAATATGTTGTATAGGGGCATGGTCATTGTGGAAATATGTGGAAATTCCACTTGATTCATCAGCGCAAAAGCCGTTGTTGTGAAGATGTCTCCCGCCTCAGTACAAACCATTTCCCAATGGCGAAGATCCATCAGGCGGCTAACTAAATCTTTGCCTTTTATTCGGGAAGAGCGGCTCTTACTGTCCTGAGGCGGACATCATTTTTTGGTTTTGTTTCGATCATTTTCCAACATGTGTTTTGTTGCCGCAAACAACGTTCCTGAATAATCTGTTGAAGGGAACGGTCACCTCACGGAGAAAAAGAAACAATTGCAACACTAGAGTTTCCACGTGACTGATTGCTTTTGAGGATTTGTTTTGTTGAATAAGCACACAAGGAGTAAAATCACTCACTCTAAAGTGAAAAAACACTGGCCCGAAACCATCGGTAGAGAAGGGCTAAGGGCTAGTTGAATGACCCCAGTGGTGCTGATTCCCAGGATCCTTTCTGGTTTTGTGGGTCCTTTCGTTATGTCCTGCATCCAAATGATCATGCATCCAAAGGTACGTATTTCGAAAAGGTTGTTCTTGGTGGTGTGGTTCTGAAGAGTACGTCTCAGTTTGACCTGGGACTGCAAGACTACGTCAGCGGTTTTCTTCGTTGTTCCTCTCTCACCGAGTGTCGATCGGTTCTGGTCCTGAAAAGATGGCAGGCATTTATCGCCTTTGCTACTCAGCGGATGGAGCCTTCTCGAGTGATAGCTCCTTGCTGCCAGTGCCCTTTGTGTCTCGTTCCAAAGATCGTGGGGATATGGATGGACGAAGGCAAGGGGTGATCTGGGAGAGATCTGTTTTTGAGGACGTGGCCGGTGTGGATTTGTTTTGGGTCCACCCATCCATCACTGTGTGGAGTGCAAGCTGCAAGCCGAGTTACATCTATGAAGGAAGGCATTAATTTTGCGATGAAAGAACTTCTAGCTTGACTCACAGTGAAGTAGCGGTGTTTTGCACACCTCGCATGCCCCATTCTACTTTGTTCTACTGGAAATCAGATAAAGAGGGTACTCTCAAATGTTGAAGTCGTGGCGACAGTCAATTTTTGAACCGCCGGAAACAGATCACCAAATGAGAATCGTTCAGACGAAGCAGCTCAATTCCACTTTGGCAAGGGGCCAGTGGTTGAGTGCTTGGTTGTCCAACAGAAGCAAGAGGTTTGTGCAAGTGCAGTAGCGGAAAAAGTCTGTGCAGAGTGGGAAGATGGGAGATGTCAAGGGGTGGTTAGGAGTTTAGCCTAGTTTAACACCATGGCTAAATGACATCTAATGTCTAAATTGTTGCATTTATATACATGCGGGAACCTTGTTTTCAAGACATGAGAACTCTGTTGGTGAGAACACACCAAAACATTCACAAATCATCGTGTTTACATTGGGGAACAACATTTTTGCAAGGACTATGCCGGGACCCCCCTCGTGGCGTCGCGTTTCCATTGGGGAACACAAGTTTTTTCCTAGTATGCCGTGACTTCCGCGGCTGAGTGTAAGCCAGGGAATTTGCTCCTTTGTGATTGAATATGTACATTAATGAGTAACATGGCCTGGCTCTTCCGGGAAGGCGATTTCTAGTCAAAGATGGTCGAGACGAGCGGCCTGTTCGAGTCTGCCAGTTACACTGGCGCTTCGGGGAGATCATGAACCTAGAAGAAGGGAAATAGACCAGTCTAAGTACCAGTCTGTCATAATTAGTCTGTCCATTGTGCCAGGTTCTTTTCTTCATTTATTGTATTTTAAAATATTTAATGTATTTTATAGTATAAACATGTATAAACCTTGTTTCGTAAAATACTTATACACCTCGATGGCTTGGCTGGGAGCTCCTTCAGCCTAAAAAACCCAGGAGCTCCGTGTGCAGGGCGCTCGCCGGCATTGCGGCTTCGATCGGTGCTTGGAGGAGTGGTCTTTGTTTCAGGCCTTGTGGGTCTCTGCTGAGGGAAAGCCATGGAAAATCAGGAGTTGCAAGTTGGGGTGACTTTTAGACCCTGCTTCTTCACCTTGGATGGATGGGCCATCTATATATATACAAAAACTCAAGATACAATGATGTAATGTAACGAAATATTTTGCTCTTTTCATAACGCCCAACTCGCTGGGGCGGGTGTTGGGGGAACGCCGTCTCTCAGCCGCGCAGGAGTTCCCCTGGAGATGACGGGAAGCTCAGGGGTCACGCTGTCGCGCGGGTCGCGGGCTGGGCGCTGAGGAGTCTCAGATGTTTTGGACGATGAAAGACAGAAGTATATAATTACAGTGGTTAAAGTGCCAGATGTGTTTGGGGCTGCCAGGGTGTGTAAGTGGGCTAGTCTTCTTGAAAGGACTTTGAGGGAGCACATGGAGTCTCATGGAGTCTCCTTGATACTCAGCTGGGACATAGGACTGAAACCAACTAGAAAGATGGCCAGAAGAACACGTGGGTGGCTCATCTCAGATGGAGGAAAACCACTGATGATAACAGTTGCCGCATCCCTGGATCCAGCAGGTCTTGCTTTCCTGCTAGTTGCCATATGGTTCCAAGGACCACAAGTAGACCTCTTGAACAACGGGTGAACACTGGTGAACAGGACGTCCAAGAAGTCAACTCCTCAACAAGAACCCAAACATGTTCGATGAAGTTGTTGGCTGATGGCACATGGTGGGGGCAAGCTGTTAAACAGACCTGCAAAACGTCCCGTCCCAAAAATGCTCGCTGGTCGCGAGGTGTCCGCGCATGGTTCGTCCGCGCTTTCGGAGCCACCCGACCGTTCGGACACCTCACGGCGGCCGATGGGACACGATGGGTCTCCAGTCCGGGATGACTGCGACCGCCACCGCCAGAGGTTTCATCTACGGCGATGCCGCCGCGCCGCACGGAAGCTGTACCGTGCGGGTGGATGCGCCCCTTGGAAAGGGTGGGACTGGTGGGAGACGGGAGGATGAAAGAACACATCCATATGGTATTCATGGCCTACTCTGGTTGACCAAGAAGATGCAGAATCCGAATCCAGGTGCTATTTCATCCAGGTGCTCTCATTCTTCCCTCCACATCATGGTCACAGTCCGAGCTTCGGAGGGCTGGGGATGCTTAAGCATTGCATGGGCTTCGTCGCGCGCATAGTGGTCGAGAAAAGTCGCCTCGGCCGCCACATGGGGCGAAAGCCCATTTGTTGGCCCTTCGATTGGACCGACCACGGGCCCGGGCCTTCTGTTTGGCTGTGGGGGTCTCAAGAGTCATTCTCCACCTGAAACAGGCATGAGTCTTTTTTTGGGACCTGGGAATATAGGTCAGTGTTTTGTAAATAGGTCCTAACAATACTAGTTCAATCAATCGCCCAGGTTGGAGCTCTTTTCGGCCAACTTGGCACGTCTCAGCTGGGGCCCTTCCTCTGACGGCACATGGGCCTGTGGTGCTGACGATGGCAGGGCACCACAGTGAAGCTGAACATGGGATGGAGCTGAGCTTCAGGTTGGCTGCTGAGCCCTTCGAAATTCACCTGGGAATCAGGTGCAATCTTCTAAGAGCTTTACCCTTTAGATCCACTGCCACCCTCTGAGGGTTGGTGATTGGAGACTCTTTTACGGCTTGGAGGATCCACTCATACCTTCGAAGGTATGTGGATGCCCTAGGGTTATAGATAATTATATAGATTGCCACTCGCTTCGTACTTCAAGTACCAGGTTATAGATAATTATATAGATTGCCACTCGCTTCGTACTTCAAGTACCAGGTTATAGAAAATTATATAGATTAATATGTGCACATTCAGGTGTATATAATAAATACACAGTAGTTAGTCAGTGAGTCTTCAGGGAGTTTTCTGCCGCAAGAGGTTCTCCCCTCACTTTGGGGTGATCTTTCACATGTCTCGGAACCGCCGGAACCGCTCTCAGCGGAACCGCTGGTTCCCGAACAGCGCTGGTTCCCATGGCCAACGACCGGGATTCGTGACGGATGCGATTCAATAGACCAAGCAACAAGGACACCAAAATGCACATGCACACGAATCCATCACCGTGAATCCATTGACCAACCCCTCACCGGTTTTGGGGAGAAAGGCATGATTGCCATGTTTTGTGGGCCCTCAGGTGGAAATAGCAGCCATCTTTCTCTGCTCCCTGCAGCACCGTTGGCCGTGGGACCTCTTGAAGTCTCCTCAGGCAGTCAAGGCCGGGCGGGCCATGGTGCAATCGAAAAGAGGAAGAACGCAAGAGGGGCAAACGCTCCTGGGTTCTGGTTTCAGAGTATTATTGTTAATCTTTAATGTGAGATTTGTAATTATAAGGTGGGGGTGGATAGCCTCTCCATTTATGTTTTCGTTTTTGGGTTAGCCGTTATAACAATCACCTCTGGAGTTCATTACATTTGCTTTCAGTTTGCGTTCATTTGCTTGCATGTTGCTTTCAGTCTGCTTTCATTTACTCTGCCTTTCATGAGCTAATTTATAAATATATGGATCCTGACTATTATCATGCCTCCAAAACCCTGATTTTGGGACGCAATATAAATCACATTTGATCTGGATTTTCTGGACATGTTGAATTTTACAATTAAAGATGGCCTGCTATATAAATACGGATTAAACATTACTTGGGGTGATTGCACCCACTGACTAATATGTTTCAAGTGAGTTCAAATTCTGATACAGCCAACAGATGGCCTGGCATGTTTAGTAAGTACTTCACACCAGAGCACGCCCCTGTTCGTGCCGTTCGGCAGAGTGTCTCCAAGTCTACGCGGCAGATCCCCATCTCGATGGATTCGCAGGCATCATCATTCTTCATCATTCAGGAATTCACGGTATAATTTCATTCATTCATTCGTTCGTTCGTTCGTTCGTTAATTCATAATTTCATTCGTTCATTCATTCATTCAATCAATCAATCAATCAGTCATTCATTCATTCAGCCAGGCAGCCAGGCAGGCAGCCAGCCGTCCATCCGTCCGTCGGTCCGTCGGTCCGTCCCTCCCTCTCTCCCTCCATCCCTCCCTCCATCCATCCATTCATCCATCGTCGTCATCGTCATCCTCATCATCATTGGTAGTGCAGAGTGGGTGGGATCTGAGGTCTAAAGAAGACAAGACTCATCAGATCCAAGAGACATTGGTCAAAAGAATAGGCAAACTCCTGTCAAAATATATCGAAACCATTCGAAACCTCAGTGTGAGCTTCGGCTTTTTCGGGATGTTCGGCATCTTCAGGTCGAGAATTCCATCTCCAAGCCCTGGCGGGTACAGCCTTCAGCGTGCAGACGTGCCTTGATCTCGCTTGGCTTGACGCTTCAAGTTCTTTAGCATGAAAAAGTCAGTAGGAGTGTCACACTCCAGACATTCTGTGAAAGAAGGTATTAGGACGGAAGAAGTCCAGGATTAATTTCTTGATTGGATTTGTCACCCCTTCCAAGTTCACAGACTTTCGCCTAGACTCAGCTTCAACCCTTCCCACACCCATACCCGACAAACTTGTAGGGTGTCAATCACAACCTCGGTGTTTTTGCAAAATCAAGATTACATCAGGTTTAGTATCAGGTCTGTTGTTATATATATATATATTATATATTTTTAATTTCTCAGAACCTCGGGTGTTCAAACGTGTATTTAACCCGTACTAAACTCGCGTTTTACCAATAGTGTATTGGTGTGTAACACCTCGGATTTCCATCAGAAACTCTAAGGCTCCTGTCAAATACAACTAAGATTCACCAGGTCGGACACTCGGCCTTCCAGTGGCGTAAAAAAAAAGAACAGCACACACATAATAATGCAGTCAAATGCGACAGGTCGCAATGCTCTGGGCCTTGCAATTCTCTGGTCACCTTTCCTTTGTTCGTTTTTGGTTCTTGTTTTTCTTTCTTCTCACCTTTGAATCACCCGAGGATGGCTGCCAGATTTGGCCTCACCTGCGGGCGCGGTCCCGGCCTGGTCCCAGAGTTTACCCTGGCCTTCTTCTCGTGTCTCCTCTTCCAGGTGTTCTGAAGAAAATCCCACATGATGGCGTGATGTCGTCGGTTTTTCTCGTCCCCTCGTCCATAGGTCTTCAGAGACCGGACCATGTGACTGTCATATGTCTTCATTGACTTAGTCTTTTCTTCAGAGACTTCAGTGTATTCCTGAAAGAATGAGGATCCTCTCGGTATGGCGTCAAACATGGGGCGCATCTCCAGAGTTCCTCTACTCTCTTAGCGCCATGCTTCAAGCGCGAGGCACGCATCTCTTCATCCACCGGGGTCAGTCGACTCCTTAAGGAATCAAGATAAGCAAATAAAAATAAAGGTAAACAAATTCATGATATTCCTGCAAATATGGCAAGTCATCGAGAAGCAATAGGAAAATGCTCAACTCCCCAAGGGACAAGAAAAAGTCATCATGTGCCACAGAAATAGATTCAATAGAAGTGCGGGGGACGCAGGGAGGATGTGTTACCTGTACTTAGGGCTCGTTGATTCATCGGTTTTGGATGGTTTTGGGATGTGTTTAGCTTGATTGGTGGCGGTCGGTGGAGACATGGTCGTGGGTCCGGACCCCGGACCTTCGGCCAAGGCCGAAGGGTGTCCCAAGGGCGTACCTCGGTGTCCCTCGGTGGTGCGGCCGAGGTGCCTTTGTCCAGGCTACGATGCAGGGAACGGCCTCGTGTGCGACCAGCCGGAGGATTTCGTGCAGCTCTTGGGCAAGGCCGGCCGGCCGACCATTCGGCCTCCACCGAGACGGCCTTGGGCCTCTATATACCTAGAGTCTAGAGTCACTCTTAGACGGCGCTTTCTTTTGATGATGTCGTCGCAGTGTTTGGGTTTGGATTTCGCCAATGCCAACACTGGCTTCTTGTTCCTATGTAGCAATGCCAGGAGCTACGTTCGTAGCGTCCGACCGCTCCTAGTAGCGATACCCTTTGTTCCTAGTAGCTTCAGGGTCACTCTTGGAACTCTCGATTTTCACCCAGCTGCGGCGTAGCTTGGAAGGCCATTTTCTTCCAGTCGCGCAGCTGCAGCGACGGGCTGTGCACCAGCGAATACGCCCGTGGGCCCAGGTTTTTTCACATCTACTCCTTGGAGGTTTACAGAAGGTTTAAAGATTGACCGAGGAATGTTTTTGGGTGGTTTTTACATATGTACATGGAGTGTTTGCAGTAAGTTATGGGCCTTTACCTTTAATCATATATTGAAATTATGACAGTTCAGAAAGAGAAACTGTTCAGAAAGAGAAACTGTGCACCTGAGCCCGCAAGTGGCAACAAGAAGGTGCATCTTTCAAAAGTGACATCAATGTCTGCCACGTGTCACCGTTACTCCTTTTGATGCATGTTGTAATATGTTGGTGCAGAGGCAAATGTCAACCAGCAGCATTTGGAAAAGGGCCATTTCATGTTTGTTCTCCATTCTAGATCATTCTAGCACTAGTGTGTTTTTTTGCATATGCTGTGCAACTGGAACCAAGTGCCATTGTGGTGAACGTTCTGCTGTGAGACCTCCCTGAATTCATTGGTTTTGCTTGATGAATGTTTCACCTGGTGGCAAACAAGTGCACAAAGAATTGATACATGTGTGTTACGTGATAATCACGTGCAGTGCATAATGCAGCTTTGGCTGCAGTTGACTAGCACGAGATGCAAATCTGACAGACAGCGCCATTCCTGCAATTTGTCTATTCCTGCAGTTTGTCTCCAAAGGTTTGTCGTCAACCTAACATGTTCCATTTTGATATTTGGTTGAGTGATGAAGGAAAAGCACACCATTATGAGCGTATCAGCGGAGTAGCAATGACTTGACATGATGCAGCCGTGCCTGAGTACATCTGACTACTAAAATAGTTGTAAATAATCTGCCTGCGCGTTTTATCCTCCTAAATGCGCACAACGTCCCAAGTCCCAAACATACCACATGTGCAAACGTGTGACAAGTTTAAAGACACACGCAAAAGATCACATGTTTGCGAACGTGGCGTGTTCTTTTTTGCCCAGTTCCAGGCGTAGAAAAGCTATCGTAAATTTACACCACTTTATGCAAATGTTCGGCGCGTTTACGCCAATTTAGCCGCAGAACGGTTTTACTCAACACCCAAAGTAGCAGCTTTCTTTGCTTCGTCCACTTGGCATGTTAGCTTCTACTCATGCAGGCCTCAAATTGAGTGGTTCAGGTAGTCAAGGAACGGCTGAAAATGAGAGCCGTTTGCAAGTCAATGTCCTCTCGATCTTGTTGAGCTGGGGGGTTGCAAAGCCAGTGGGACATACCCTACCTTGCAAGTAAATAAATAGACAATTAGGAAGGATGCCTGCATGCATGCATGTTCAATCACTTTCACACAGGCATCTCAAGTCAGGAATGCCAACAGGCACAAAACAACGGCGTGCACTCCAGACCGGCTCTCTACCATGCAAGCAACAAGAACATTTATTGGCGATTGGCTTTCCATGGGCATGAGCATTTGGCAAAGATCATCCCTAGACTCAATCCCATCAAACTTAGCATGACTTACACAGCATGCAAAGTGAAGCATCCCATGAGGCATCGTTATTGAAGGGTTGTGAAATTTAACGTGGCAATTCTGTCTATAAGGACTCAAAAGTGGAAAGTTGCAGAAAGTTCTGCCACTAGAGCTAGAAGAGCTGCGTGTTGTTTTTGTTTTCCTTGCATGTTCCTTAACTTGGGATTGTTCCTGAGAAACTGGGTTTTTACTAGGCAAGTATTGCCCCGAGTTGCTCCCAAAAAGCTAGATTTAGTCGATCGACTTGTTTGTTTTTTTGGATTTCAAGATTCTCGCAAGACAAGAGGAACGTTGGAGTTCTAATTCAGGGTCTCGGGTCCCTCTTCAGTTGTTGCCGTGTAGTGAGTATGAAGATAACACATGTTCAATCGGTGCGACTTCCGCCTACTGGCATCCACTGGTCCCAACTGCAATCCGGTTGCTTCTTCGTTCGTCACCACTTGTGGCTTCTTCCTTCGCCGTATCTACCCGGAATGACCCCTTCCATCCTGTTCCCTACTCGGAACATCTCTCGGAACACAAAGCATCAAGCATTCTGCTGGCACCTTCATGTCGGCTCATCCCTCTCAGCCCCAGATCAACCAATATTGTCATATATAGGGTGCCATTGGGCAATTTCAATACTTTGCGGTCGTCTCCGGCCGTCTCCGGTCGTGGTCTTCCCCGGAGGTGCGTAGTCAGTACCCTCCGCTCCACGGAACCAGGGACCGCCCGTTTTCAGTAGAGCCGTTTAGTGGTCTTCGCGGGCGCCGCCCTGCCATCCACTTCCATGTGAACGTGGGGAAGACCAGGTTCGATCGCTGTTCGTTCCGTTCCTTGGTTCGATCGCTGAAAACCGGGAACCGGATGGTGTCCATGGCGCGTGTCGGATGGCAGGTGGATGGTGTCGCGGCGAGCTCGGCCTTTACCCTGCGAGTGGACTGTGGAGGTCTTGGCCTTTGTAGCACCGCTGGAAGTCGCTTGAAGAGCTTTGGCACCAACTTAGGCAGTGGTTTGACCATTTTGTGACCCATGTCCGGAATCTATGAGGCTCTTTCCTTTGCGTTTGGGATCCCGGAGTTAAGAACATGATGAACACGCTTCCATCCAACACGGAGGAGGCGAAGAACTGCGAAGAACACGGGGGGAAGTGGGCGGTTCGGAGTTCTGCCCCGGCGCACGATGGGACCGGCCTGGCATTGGGACCGGTCCGTGCCGAGACCTCATGGGACGGACCGTAGATGTGATGTGACCCCGGAAGAGACCCGTAGAAAGCGAGGCAAGGCTGTCGGAGATCATGTCGGGTCTGCCAATCTAGAGTTATTTGATGCTATTTGATGCTAGTTATCAAGTTGATAGATGTTGATAGATTGTTGATGATTGTTGATCAATGTATTCATCCCCCTCTATAGATCTCAAAGCTTTTCATACGGGGGGGTCACTGATTCATCAATACTCAGAAGTCTAAAAGAATGTGCACAGCTATATCAATACAGATACAGATATACCACATAGGACATCATAGGACCGTTGGCTTTCCCAAGTCCAGATGTTCTCGGGTTTTCTTGGTCAACCCGACCATTTGGACGCCTCAGGATCATCGATGCGAATCCGCCCGGGACGCCGAGCGGTGCGCGGAACGATCGAGCGAGCCATGGTGTGGTGCCTCGAGCGGTGCACGTCCGAAGTATGCAGTGCGGATGACCAAGTAGACTCGACTATTGTATTTCACCCCCATATTGTCAGAGGATTTTTAATTCGGAGGTTTAAAATGTTTTAATCAAGAATCAAGAGTCTACATTAGTTGGACAACATCTTACCCCATAGGGATCCAGTTGTACCTTCTCAGGTTCGGTGCAACTGGACCTTCCAAAGATCTCCAAAGCTACATAACAGTGCCTCCAATCACCTTCTGAGAAGGTATTCAGTACCCTAGGGATCTACCAAGTCACCACTCAATGAGGTACACCAAGGACGCGGTTTCACTGGTTTTTAGGACGTGTAGGGGAAGTATGGCTATTCTGAATAGAATTGAGGACGTGTAGGGGAAGTATGGCCATTCTGAAGAGAATTGAGGACATGATCATCATTCCGTTTGTTGTTTTGAGTCGAGAATGTCATTCTTCTGGACCAGTTTCGATGACCACCACCCACGAACAAAGGGCTGGAAGAATAGCCAAGCAAACAAGCACCGAGGTGCAAGAATCAAAGGATCGCACGGCTAGCTTCGGATTTTTCCAAGCACACTAGTCCCAGTCCGGAGTTGTACTATTGAGCGCCTGGTTGCTGCATGCGCTCCAGCCTCCTAAGGAGGCACCTAGGGTGCATATAGCCATGCTAGGCTTGAGCCAAAAGAGATTAACATATTCGAGGTAAAGCTGCAGTGGAGAGTGCTTCCACTTTGTAGATCATCGTGTGATGAGTACTTCGCCGGCCTGAAAGTGAATATACCCCTCGCTATCTCTCGCTCGCATGGAAGTGGACAATTGATGGAAACAACTACGAGTACCACCTGAACTACGGGTGGTTGATGAACCCCTCCTGAAGAGGTATGTTCCATCATGGGCCCATGGGTGGTGCTGGTCGTTTCAGGTACGAACAGGGTGGTCTCCATTGACCCTGCCTTTCAACCGCATACCCGTCGCATCCGTCGCATCCGTTTTCCTGCCGATCCTGCCTCGGCCCGTGCCTCGTCTGTGTGACGTTTGGGCTTCACAGAGCTTCGGGTTCGAGCAGAGAGAAAGGAGTGAGCCAGTGAGCCCGAGCTCGACCATGCAAAGCTCGTTGACCGCGGCGAACTTGACTCCTCTTGGAGTCTATCAGCCACTGGGGCGTTTGATGTTGGGAGGGGAAAGGCAGGGGTGGGGAAAGGCCCGAGGGGAAAGGAGCTGTTTGGAAAGACATGTTATTTTAGGCAGCCTGCTTCATACTTCAAGTATAGTAGGCGCCTATACTTAATGAAGTAAGGGCTAAGTTGGGCCTTGTAGCTATCACGCTTGCTGAGTTCGCTCACACTAAGATTTGCTTGTATTTGGTTCCTAGATTCGTTGGGACACTGATGACCCAATACATATACCAATATAATACCTTGGACATCAGCTTCGTTGGCTTGGGAGTATATCCGCCATACATACCAATACCCATTACATGATTACCCAATATGGGCATATGTCGAAAACCCGCTTTCAACCACGTCTTCACGTCCAGCCGTGGCTTGCCGGTACGCGCCGTAGTAGCCCGTGGTTCAAGAGCTGAGCCCACCGTGGTAGAGCTTTAAGAAACTACATACATACATACATACATACATACATACATACATACATACATACATACATACATACATACATACATACATACATACATACATACATACATACATACATACATACATACATACAATCAATTGAATATGTTTGAATCACAAGCACGTATAACTAATTGTCATTGGAAACTAAGAAGTTTGATCAAGATCACACTGTGCATCTCCTTGGCTGAAATTAATGTGGAATGCATGAATTTCTCCCACTGGCGGGGGAGAGCATGCGCGGGATACCATCGGGGATACCTACCATGGGGGAGTGTTGCTCAGCATGCCTCACTGAGGCCTGGGATGGAGTTTCCTCCAGCCCTGGCCTACGGTTTGAATGACCAGATGATCTTTCCACCTCCAGGCGCGTGCGCCAAGCGCGCGTTGGTGGGCGGACCGGGTCTCTGACGTTCGGCGGACCGGAGGTTTTCTGATGTCTCCTCATGGGTGGAAGTGCCAGGCAGGGCTGGCTTTCGTGATCCATTCTTGCGCACCCAAACATGCCGAGCTCCTGCTGACTTGGGAATCTGCTCGAGCGAGACCACGACTCGATGAGTTGGAGCTGTGGTGACTCAGGTCCGGCGATGTGCTGAATCGTCAGCTGAGTCGCATGCTGAGTCGCTATCTACATGACTCTCTGAGCATGGACCTTTCTTCTTTTCCGACTCTCTGAGCTGAAGATGGTCTTTTTTCTGTTCGCAGTTCCGGTTTGGGATGCGCATGGATGCGCAAAGCAGACCGGCACGACTTGGTGCATGGCGTTCCGCCACCCGAAACCCGAGCGCAGCTCGGACCGAGCATCGCAGGTCTTGATTGGAGCGATCAGTCCCGGTCCACTTCGAAGTCCTTTTCGGAGGCACCGGCAGAGACCGAAGCGGTTCGGAGAGTCGGAGAGTCGGGCGCGAGATCTCGGATGGGGTTGGGCGAGATCTTGATGGATTCCGGGGGGCGAAGCCGGAACAGGACATGGGTGTTGAAGTGGTGTGTGGGTGTGTGTTTTTTTTGGGTTCAGTCACATATGTCGGTTCCGGCTCCGGTTCCGGAGTTGGTCACATCCACAGCTGGATGGGACGAACCCAACCACCCAACTGCATGTGACCCCTGTCTTTTCTTCTTGCGCCCACATGTGACAATGGACGGCGACAGGCATCGGCAGGGAGTTGGAGGGACCATGAGTTGAAGGACCTGAAAGCAAGAACCGGTGCCCCACTTCACGGTGCCATTTCTACGAGGAGAACGGCGACAGGTGTGGGACGTTGTTGCCCAAAAAGCGGTTGCTGGAGAAGAAACTGCCCTGGATGATCCTGAACATGCGAAAGACTTTCGTCACTTTCGTCTTTCTGACAAAAACCCGGCGACCACAGCTGCAACGGTAATCTTACATCGTTTGTGGTTCATCCCTCCCAGGCATATTATGCTATGATACCCGGGGCGAACTCTCTCGAAAGACCACCAAAACAACTACAGACGAGGTCTTAGGCAGAGTGACCTGCAGTAGACAGAGTTCATGTTATATTCATTTTTGACATGTTTCTCGCCTTTTGCATCCTTTTGCGACCACAACCTCCCCCGATCTGGCCGTCAAGCCGAGGATTTGAAGTACTTGAGTTATGACCGTGAGAACGCCCCAGCCCAACGTGTAGCACACACATTCCCCGTCCAATTTTCCTCATTATTCTTCGAATCAATCCATCATGACACATGCTATAAATTAGATATGTGTATGACAATGAATGTATTATAGATGTACATAGATGTACTAATTGGTTGGGAAGAGTTTTCTCATGCCAGAGGGTGACGTATGTCATGCTTTTTGGCCTAGGCAGGGATGATGAATGAGAACTTGGTGGATGGCAAAGAAATGGCGGAGATGTTTGCGAGGCAGACTTCTTGCTGGTGAAGCTGGTTTGTCATGCTGGATGTCCTTAACTTGATCAGTGATAAGTGTCTCACCAAAGGCAAGCTTTTGCACTGCACAGTGAACTGGTCTCAAACTTAGCATTTCAAAGTAACGGTATATGATTCAACCATGATTCAACCATCATTTGGAGTGTTTGATTCAGCCATCGTTCGCATCGGACCTGAACCACCTGAACCCAGAGACTCGTTGAGTGAATGAAAACACCTACCGATCAATAAAACCACCCCAATGATCCCCTATAGCTGGACCCGGTAAATATTCCGTACATGCCCTAGGGCTCATGGCCTACCTTTTGAGAAGATGCTTGGGGTGGGTGCCAGGGGGGGGACATGACCTTCTAAGGGTATGGTTGGAGCCCTAAAAAGGACGGATTGTTTTGGGACTCGATCATTGTTTTGGGGCCGTGGCACAGCTCTCGGAAGCAATGATAGGTGTGAGCTGGCAAATGTATTATGCTTTAATAAACGGATCTTTCTAGCTAGTATCCCTGCATTTATAGTAGGCCAGGGATCCCCTTCGACTTCACCGCCTAATCCAGGCCGTGACGGATTGGGACCCCAAGTCGCGCTATAGTAGGCCAGGGATGATACATCCGGCATTTGGATGCAGAACACCATGACGTCGCTCGTCAGAACCGCACTCCTCGGACTACGTCGACGAGCCAAACGGTGTGGACTCTCCACGTCCGCGCGGAGCGGCCAGGGGTTTGACGGTTTCACTGAGAACGTTTTGGTGTGTTTCATGAAAAGGAACAGAACCAAAACAGAAAAACGCGCCAAGACCTAAGAACTATGTTGTAACTGAAGAGTCTCCATTGGGGGCAAACTTGGGGTCGAACTACTTCTCTTCCGGCGAACCTTGGGGGCTTGGCTACGACCCGCCACGTCTCGGCTTCGTGTCCACCGTCTGTGTTGCCAGGGAGCTTACCATGGCTGACAAGGTCTCACTCCACATCACCCGGTCGTGCGTGCCCTGCCTTTTCTACACCAGGAAGGAGGATGGCTGCCGCAAGGCCGGACGGAGGACGGAGGACCCGGTCAGCACGGTGGCATGGTGGCGTTATGTGGCACGGAGTGTGTTGAACATGCGATGAACATGCGATGAAGACGGTGAAGAGTTCAAAGATTCAAGTATCTATCCTAGATCTATCCTGCAACAAAAAGGTATTGTTTGTCAATCGAATTATTCTGCCAAACATGTTCAGATATTTCAATGTTTCGAAGATCAATTCTGCAATAACAGCTTGTAGAGATGTTGGCTTGCTTCCCTACTCTGGTACCACCATCGAGCACCTACGACTTAATTTTGCAACGTTCTTTTTCTGGTGGAAGGGCAGCGTTCACGACAGGTGGTAAAATAAACTTTGACGCAACACTTTCATCCAT